TTTTTGATGAATGTAATAGTTTTTTTGTAGGCAATACTTCTTTGATTACAGGTGATATTTTAACAGTTATAGACTGGAATTGAGTTTCAAAATTGTGGGTATTTGTGGGGCCAACTCAGCCAAAATCAGCCTGCTGGTATTTGTGGTTGGACAATGGATGGCTGTTGGGTGGGAGGGGTACTGAAACTGCCAAAATGTGGCATCTCTGGCAGGGGTAAGCTAGAATCAAGAATGCAGGTTTTTTAGTATGCCGGTAATTTTGCGGTTTTTTTGCTTGGGGCGTGGTAGCATGCCGGTATCCCAGAAAATTTTTGTGGGGCGGGGCGGTGCCGGTAGCAGCCTTTGGGGAAAACTTTGCAACTCTACTGTGGAAGCACACAGTGATGGGTTTATTTAGGTCTCTGTTGATTGCGAAATATTCGAGTTGTGGACCATTTATGCTAGATTTTCGAACAAACCTCTGAGCACGTAGCAACACACACCGGAGAGGATATTGACGTCACATTGTTCATCTTTAGGGCAAAGGCAGAAGGACGGAGATGATGGATGTGCCTGCCGACTAACTACGAGAGTAGCATCGCATTGGGAATACGGGTACGGAATAAATGCCCGTGTTTTATGCTGGGAACACGAATCGACCGTAAGGAACAGGTTCCAGTTCAATCAAGACATGGATTGTAGGTATAAGCCACCACCATCAAAGACAAATAAAATTGACTGTCTAGAGCAACGGTCCGACGCAAGTATTCGAATAAAAACTTAAAAATTTATTGGGTTATTGGGCCATTAGGTTGTGTCAACTGCGACAGCCATTTTGCGCCTATAAAACATAAGTGTCCGGCTCGAGTTGACCCAAGTAGATGACCATACCTATACTCAGAGAGCGACCTCGGAGCGTCACCGACCGAGCCGTCGCGGTGACCGTGCGCCGGCTCCAGGTCGCCCAGACTCGGAGCCGCAGTCCGCGCCGTGGAGGGCTGCGGACATGGCCCGAGTCCAGCCGCCCTCCGTCGCTCGCGGAGCCGGACACGGACGCTGCTCCCGGTCGGTCAGGAGGGGGCGGAGCCGACCGTACGACTACGGACTACAACAGCTTCATAAGAGTGGCTCTGTCATGTATTGGGCTCCCGTGCCATGCACCGACCAGCCCGGTTCGGGGTAGGTATTTCTCTGACCGGCACAGCAGCTGACAGCGTGAAGCACCGCCGGCCGAGGTCCGTCGCCGGCCGGGGTTTGTGACTCTGTCCGGCCAGAGTACGTGCCTTTAACCGGCCGGAGTCCATGCCTCTCTAACCGGCCGCCGGCCGCCGGGCCCCGTCTGATCGGCCGCCGCCGGCCGCCGGTCCAGTGGCCCCGATCGACGGCGGCCGGCCGGTCGATGCCGGCGGCGCCATCGCTCGGAGCGCCGCACGCAGGTCCGCCCGGCCGGCCCGATGTTGCAGCACGCAGCCGGAGGGCGCGGCTCAGCTCAGCAGTGTTTACAAACAGAGGACGGGCGGGCGTCCACAGGTGGGGACCGGGGCGCTCCGCCGGGGTCACCCACTGACTGACCACACCCAGTCCGCCGGGCGGCCGAGGTGGCCACCCTTCCGCGGCCCATCACTGCAGCAGGGCCAGTCTGTCTCCATGCGACCCGACACTGTGCGTTTCCATTTACCGCGGGGATAACGACGTAGTGACCCAGCAGCTCAACATCGAACAAGGGATGAAACGTCACTAATGACGAGGGAGGGCAAACAACTACTGGGACGTTTATCCAATGACACTCAACACCATAGGGGAGAGAGGTCATATTGCGCCACCTTAAGGATATCGGCCTATTGCGGCTAAAGTTGACCAGCTGTCATGCTTGATGATATCTCAAATTGTACCTCAGTTATTTTGGCATCAAATTACAACTCCTAATTTGTATCACACCCATAAAAATTAACAAGAGAAAAGTTTTCCGACACACCTGCAAAGGGCGCATTTACGGACTACCCCATCAAAAAGCGCCCATGCCTTTCATGTAAAAGCGCCCTATTAAAAACAACGGTTTGCCACCTAACTAAGTAGCCTATTTGAACGTGTCAGCCCATTAACCATTTATGCTGTGAAGGCTAAGGTAATGGTAAGGTGAGCGCTCTAATAATCAAAGTGTTCAATGAAATGTGTCCCAACCACCAGATGCTGTTTCTCTGGGTTGAAGAATAGGGCGCAAATAGGGTGGGCGCAGTTACGAATGGAACACATTTTTCATGAGCTTCAAATATGGCGAGGACAGCGAAGCCACGGTGGTGATTAACTTTCAAAACTACCATTAAACGAGCAATTAACAATGATTATTAGTTGAATCACTATCTCTAAGATAAACCATGACACTAGCAAAGGTCGAAATAGACTGTTTCGCGTAAGAAAATAGAGGAAATCACAAAACATGGTCTGCGAGAATGTTGAGACACCTCACCTGCCCCCGTGGACCGGAATAAGAGCGAGTTATTGGTGGTGAAGTAAATGCACACATTCGAGCATTCATTCGAATCGAATTTTGGACAGGAGGAAGGTGTGGCGCATTTAAGAACATGGCGCAATATGACCTCTCTCCCCTACTCCGTAGAAACAAAGAAATAAAGGTAAAACTTTTTGAGGAATGTCATGAAACCAGAGATCCAATCAGTAAAGTACATACAAATTGATGCTTCGCCAAGGCAACCAGAACAGTCCCTCATCTAAATGTCCCGATCTAAGTGTTCCTGGTGCCAGCTCCTTCTGGCAGCCGCCGTCCGTCCTCACCTTTCTCTCTGCAGGCTCCCATGTTTGCCGTTGCGTCAGCACCTCAGTGGATCACACACGGCCGCCGGTCCGCTGTAACACTCCACCCTTGGCACCCGCGGCAGCGCGCGCGCCCCGCTCCTCCGCTCCTCCGTCCGTCCGGTCCGCGCCCGCGCGCCGCAGTGTCGCCCTACCGACGGCGGCTAAAATTACAGCCGCGCCCGATCGCCAGTGTCGCGCCGGCTGCCAGCCGCGGCCGCGGGGCTTCGCTGGGCTGGCTGGCGGCGCGTCGGCACAGAATGGGGTCCGCCGGCGCGCGTCGGGGCCGACGATCGATGGGGACGGCGCCGCGCGGTGCGCAGGCCCGCCCCGACCGGCCAGCGGCGGCCACCGACCGACTGACTGCCACCGCTGACCGGCATACCGACCACCAGCGGGGCGGCCGGTCCAGGAAATGGGCGGCCTACCCATGACAGGCTCAGCGGGAATACTCGCCAAAATGTTCTCCAACTTGCAAAAGCCGTCTCAGTTAGCGTCCTTATGCATTACCGTGCAATTGCATTGCAATGGAATGCAAAGCAATGGCCGGGACGGGATCAGGGTAGGCAGTAGGCACGTCCCCCCTCGCCGAGATAGGGGCGACCACCCCGAGGCACAGCATTGCGCCAGGTGAACGGCGGAGTCCGCCTGATCCCAGCGCAGCGGCCGGGGTAAGGGAGGACTAGCTTCGGTCAGAGGTGATCGCATGCGAATATTACGGTCTGCTAACACACGGCCCTCATCTCATCACCTTACTGATCTGATGCAACGTCGGGCCGTTGCTTGGAGGGCGGACCGCACTGGGCAGGTGCTGCCATCTGCCTTAGACCTGTGTCCCTCGCCACGGGGCGCCACCTGCGGCCCACACTCCTCGGCAGCACTCAAAGGGTGCACGAGCTCGCGAGCCCTTCCCCACTGCAGCGCGTCAATTAGACCAGCGGAGAGGACCATATCCAACTGCGTGCTGATGGGCATAATATCCAACCCTGTTCCGGTGGAGACGGCCAGTGGAGTCGGGGGGGGGGGGGGGGGCGACAGCCAATCAACATCAGGTCGACGACCCCTGTCCCTGAGCGGCTCAAACTAAACGGCAAACTTTCAGTGGAGCGCTGCCGCGGATGCGGGAGATTCAAGAGAATGGCTAACGATCGGATTGCTTTGGCAATTAGTCTGCTTGATAACAAGAGTGCGAGCACTAATGAACGACCTCTCGATGAAGGCGATATTGACAGTTCTTCCGTGATAACTGTGGGGGCCCAATGAGGATCATCCCAGACCGACATTTGAAACAGAGTCTGTGTGACATCCCAAGTAAAGCTACCCGAAACCACAGGTCTATGCCGCAACTCCAGAGTCCAATGACACCTGAGAACTAGCACTGCGACCAGAGTACATCCGGTCTACAGAGTGGCGGAGCCGCTGTCTTACCGGGGTAGCTGCTGGCTAACTACTGAGGTAGCTGCTGTGTAGCCACTGCCGTCAAATCACCGAGGTTACTCAGGGGCCTGCCCGGCGACGGCGAACCAGGCCGCCGAGCTCCATATGGGCCGGCGATACGACCCTGTATATACATACGCCCAGCGACGGTCGATGCGGGGACGGGACATGCGACACTGAGCGACCAACATCACAGCGGCAACGACTGCAGGCATCGGGCCAAATATTGATCGCCGGCGTCAGCTAACTGCAAGACAAATACCCGAGAAACATTGATAGCGTGCTGTGCGAGCGGGAGGACCGAGCAGCTAGACTGAGACGGGCGTCCAACAGAGCCGGGCAGACGCAAAATGCTCCAAGGGAACGGGGTAAGACCAGTGAATATAAACATTAGCGCATATGCAATGAGCACACCGCAAATAAAATGCGACAGGCGAATTGTATGGATGTCCGTACAGCTTTGGTTCTGTGTAAGCGGTATGCGGTATGCACTACGAATTAAGCAGATTAATTAATTCATAAGTCTTACCTCTGTGGAATGCTCATCACCGTAGAATATGAGGCCCCATGGGGAAAATAAATATACAATCCTAACTCTACATTGAGCGCTTCGAGCACTACGCCGCAGAAGGGCCACTTATCCTACACGGCGGGTGCGGTCGGCCGAGCGGCGCCGCGGCGCTGGCGCATCAGATGTCCGGGCAGCACTACAGGCACTACCTTCCCGGCGGCACTACAGACACTACGGGCACATCGAGCGGGCACCGGCTCACCTCGCGGGTCGCGCGCCATCCTGCGCCGCAGGTCGGCGAGCAGGCCTGGCGGCGGACGGGGCGGTCAGAGGCGGGGTCAGAGGCGGGGTCAGCCCGGCGGACGGGACAGTTCAGAGGCGGGTCAGCCCGGCGGTCAGAGGCGGGGTCAGCCCGGCGGACGGGGCCGTCAGAGGCGGGGTCAGCCCGGCGGACGGGGCGGTCAGAGGCGGGGTCAGCCCGGCGGACGGGGCGGTCAGAGGCGCGGGTCAGCCCGGCGGACGGGGCGGTCAGAGGCGGGGTCAGCCCGGCGGACGGGATGGTCAGGTAGGCGGTCAGTTCAAGCTGTCGGCCCCGGCTCGCCGGTCAGGTGGCACGGACAGGCATGGCCGGCCGTCCACGGCGCACCCCACCGCGGCCCGTCACGGCGACAGAGACTCCAACTGACTGCCCGCCGCAGTCGTCCACGGCCCGTCACGGCGGCGGAGACCCCAACTGACTGCCAGTCCGTCCCGCGGCCCGTCACGGCGGCGGGGACTTCTACCCGATGGCGATTATCACTGTCTGCCCGCATCAGTTATCGGGGAGCGGAGCAGCGGCAGCAGACTGCACTCGGCCCAATTGCAGCCACTGATTGCAAATACAAAATCGATTGATGAAACTGATACCGATCGTGAAAACGCTGCCGCCGTTAGGAAACTATCAATATTGTTGACATAACACGCACCACAGCTTGGCCTGATATGCATCTGGACCGAGTTATTTCACACGGCACGTGACAATTGGTCCCGGTTAGTTGCAAAGCATTGATACCGCAGCTACCTACTAGCCCACGCTGAGCGAGTATTTAGTGCAGGTAAATTGGGTCAAGGGCCTGGGAAGTCAAGGTCATCGACCTCACGCCCAGATCGGGAGCCTATTTCAATATGGATTACGGGGGGCACAACTGTTGGGTGTTGTGCTCCCTGGATCGGGAACACAACTAGCGAAATGCTGTTATCAGTGTTCACGCCCCAATCTCAAAGCATGACGTAGAATAGGTACACAAAAAAGCATCCCAACACGCAAAATTGTAAAAGTTCACCAGCACTTGAAGCCGCGTCCAGGGCCGATTAAATCGATCATTAGAACATCTCCAGTCGGGAGGGGGGGGGGGGCATTTCCACACTCCCCATGCCCCCTTCACGCCAGGGAGGGGGGCGTATTTGGCCACACCAAGTTATCTCGGAAACTATAAATACCTAGCCTGAGCGTCAATAATTTTATGACATTTAATTCGCACCTCCTCGAGACACATCTTATGATCTACAAGTCGAACTGAAAAAATCAACTTAAAATTTGACCCCAGGTCAACGTTATGACCTGACCGGTAAAGGTAATCTTGCATACCTATCCATCGACCCGTATCAATGAGGCCTGTACTTACACATCAAGGTGCTTTCATCGCTTTACCTTGTCTCCATCAAAAGTTAACGTCGAAAAACTGCTGGTGACCTTTTATGACCTGACATGTCATTTTGTAAATTTCTTCTGTAAATTTCTTGTGGTTTTGACTTCTTTATACAAAGGCGTCGGCTGTCGAAAGAGCGTCAAAAAGAACGAAGAAGTTAGTTCGGTCGCTTTTTAGATCAGTTAAAAGGTCAGGTCACCAGAGGTCACCGAAAGTAGAATTTCGCCACTTCCCGGCCAAACTTCGCTAATTTTCGACAAGCCGGCGCATAGCCAGGAATGGATACAGCTGCGGCGCGCGGAAAGGCGCATTCGATAGCTCTTTAACAGTATTCCTGATTAATTACCTCAGATTCGACCTATGGTTAACGGTTTAGCCTGCAGGTAAGGGACAAAAACTGCCAACAAACATTGCCAAAATATACATTTTTTGCGGGAACAGTTTTTCTGCAATAACTTTTGACTCAATACCTACACGAGCTTACTTTTGGCAGCATCGTGTTCCTCTTGCCAGACGCATCGAATGAACACACAGCTAAGACGTTTTCATCGCTCTAGCGTGCCTCCATTAAAAGTAATTAGCGAAAAACTGCGAAGTGTGGGATACCATTCGTTACCCGAGGTGCCTCAGGGACATGGCGAGGGGTCAGGAGTGCCATTTTTCGGTTCAGTGTGTCATGTTTACTTGTAATTTGATGCTTGAAATTGCTTAGAATGACGTTCGTCCAAAAGAGGCGCCCTTCAACGTTCTCCCGTTGCCGTATAATAGAGAGGTCGCAAAATTGACCTAACCTTAGGTCACGGATATCAACTTTCCGAGAAATGCATCTTGTACGAACTGTTTACCTTATCCATGGCTGAAAGTTTCGAAGTGATCGGTCACTCAGTGTTGCTATTGCAGGCATTGAAACTTTTATGAGGTGATGTCACTTGACGTGACCTGGTGACCTGACCTTCAGCGACCTTGGTCTGAAATTTTCACAGAATGAGTTGAAAAGATTATAATAAGGTGTGCCAAAGTTATTCTTTTTCAGGTCAGGTCAAAGGTCAAGTTACTAGAGGTCATCAAAGGTCAATTTTTGTCAATTTCAACAGTTCTCGAAACACCCGACGGCTAACTCGGGAACCAATAGAGCCACAGCGCATTCGATAGCTCTTTTAACGCTCTTTCGCCAGAATGTCCTGCGATTTGACATCGGGTCAATGGTTTAGCCTCCAGAGGGCAAAAACTCAATATATAGCATTTTTATGAAAAACGTTTTTCTGCAATAACTTTTGACTCCAGACAGCAACGAAATTTATTTTGTCAGCATCGTGTTTCTCTCGTCGAGACGCGTCGAATTAATTGTAATTTGACAGGTCATTTGGAAAACTTGACCTCAGGTTAAGGTCATGTTGCATATCAGTCGATCCGTATCGTCGAGCTGAACACATAAGAGGTGTTTTCATCGCTCTGACATGTCTCTATCAAAAGGTTTTGTAAAAAAAAAAACTGCTGGGGACCTTCACTACCTGATATGACCTCAGGACATAAGGAAAGGTCACGGGTGCTATTTTTTCGGTTCGTTTGTCAAGTTTACTTGTAAATCGATTTTAGAGAGTGTTTGGAATGGCGTTCGTCCAAAAGAGGCGCTTTCCAATTTTCTCCCATTGACTTATACCTAATGAGAGGTTTCAAGATTTGACCTGACCTTAGGTCACCGATATCAAAATTCCGAGATATAGGTACATTTTTACAATGTACGGCTCTCGCGAGATTAAGCGGTAGGTTTTGCACTTTTACATCTCCGGTTATATCTCAGAAACTAATCGATCTACGATGAAGCCATTTTTACACGATCATGGCCGGCTTGTGAACCAACAAGTCGATCGCATTTTCAACACTTAAAAGCTTAAGACAACGAAAATATAGCCTTAAGTACACTAAATTTTCTAGGTGCAAAACCTACCGCTAAAAAGTAAAACCCGCGAGACCTGTATGTACATACTGTTACTCTCATCAATCGCTAAAATTTTCAAGGCGATCGTTCAGTCCGTGTAGCTATGACGAGGATTCAAACTTGTTCTGAGGTGAAGTCACTGGTCAATTGACGTGACCTACATAGTGACCTGACCTTGAGTGGCTTGGGTCTAAATTTTCACAATATGTTCAGAAAAGATGCATGAACAGGTGTGCCAAAAACGGAGGCGCAGCGGCGACGTCGTTCTTTAGATATCTGCGAAAAACGGCAGGGGGTATTCAAACACCCCCCCCCCCCCCCCGCCATCCCGGCGCGGGTTAATAAGGTTCGCGCGCTGCGGCTGCGATTTTCTTTACGCACGCCAAAAAAAAAAAAAAAACTGGAGTGCGGCGAAGGTAATAGGCCAGCGCTGGACCGCGGGGGATGTTTGAAATTTGAATAGGTACCCCTTCCCCCTGCAGTTTTCACAGGGAGAGCGCCGCCGTACTCGTATTTGCCATGCACCTTTTCATGAATATTTTCGGCATTTGCGCATATGTGAAAATTTCAGACCCACATCGCTCAAGGTCAGGTCACCAGGTCACGTCAAGTGACCTTACCGCAGAAAAAAGTTTTAATGCTCGCCATAGCTACACCGACCGTGTGCGATCGCTTTGAATCTTGATTGATAATAGTAACAGTATGTGAAAAAGGTATATTTCGGAACTTCGATGACGGCGACCAGAGGTCAGGGCAATTTTGCGACATCTCCATATTTATAAGCAACAAAAGCAAATTGAAATGCGCCTCCTTTGGACGGAAGCCATGCTAGACAGTGAGACACCCCCAAACATCGGACATAACAGGTAACTATGAAACACTGAATCGGAAATATTGCACCGTGGCCCCTCTTTTTCCCCTGATGTCATCCCGTTGAGCTTGTCAAATCTGAGGACAGTGGACACGTTCCAGAAAGAACGTTTAAGGAGCTATCCAATGCACTTTTCCGCCACACTGTAGCTCTATTCGTGCCCGAGTTATCCGCCGATTTGTAAAAAGAAGAAATATTAAAATCGGCAAAAATTGACCAACAAGTATGGTGATCTATGATCTCTGGTGACCTGACGTGACCAAAGAAATGACCGAAGTACTTCCTTCATTATTCATCACGTTCTTTCCAATGTCGTTTACCGCGTGTCGCTAGTCGCTACGTGGCCCAGGATCCGAGTAAGGCGGGGGTTACTGTCGATCGCCCCTCCCCGGCCCAGCGCGGAATTATCTACCATTTACAGCGACAGGACCCAACATAAGCTAGCTGACAATGTAATGTTCACAACTGTACTGTCATCACGCGTCACCGTGATAACTGGCGTACGATCGGTATCAGTATCAGTACCTATGGCCTCCTGCGACCGTCGTATGACGCACTCTGGGCAGAACCGGATGATCACATCCCGCCGGGCGCGGAGTGTGGTCCCCGCCCGGCTGCCGCTCGCGTGCCTGGCCCTGTTCCAGTGAACCCCGGCGGTCGACCCATTGACACCAGCCCGGCGCGGCGGCGGCCGGGCGGGACGGCGGGACGGCGGGGGAGAGGCGGCACCGCCGGCGCTGTCTCCGCCGCCGCCGGCGCCCCCAGCACTGCACAACTGTTACGTAACGACCGGTACGGCGGCTGTGCACTTTGCACCAGCCGCGAGTCGTACACGCACACATCTATCGCGAACGGCAGCGCGCGCCCGCACAGGCGGAGCCAGTCGATACTTCCGTATTTCCGAGGGGCAAACCACAAAATTTGTCGTCACTGCTACGACCGTACTAACGTTCACAAAAGGAAGGCTCCTCTTTCGGGGAAGGTTCTCCCGTAAGCGCTCCCTGGACCCGCCCCTGCATGCACACATTCCCATTTCACAATCCGCCGGCTGAAGGTGAACAATGTCGTGCCCACCGCCGCACAGTGGGGATTTTTCCGATCTAGCGCGTCTTAATTCCAAAAATCTTTTTTGGATTTTTGTTTATTTTTTTTGGTGTCAGTGGGGCTAAGAAATGTCTGAATTTTTCATATATGGCATTGTTTTATCTGTATGTCCACAGCAAGACTAGGAAAAATGCGCCCAAAGTTCACACTCATGCGTGATTACTCAATGGGCTCAGTAAGGCCCGAAAGTATAGCTCAATTTCATTGTCCTGTCCTGTTGGTTTTATTCTTGCGAGGTCTTAAAGTTGCATATCTTCTGAAAGGCACCTTTATTAGGAATGGAATGGCAAACAGAGAGTATGCCACAACCTTACGAAGGTCACAAAAATGCCATTTACAAAAAACCCTTACAGACACCATATTGAAGGAATGGTATTTTAAATAAATGTAGGAAATCAACAATGTTTTCCACACTTTTCCACTCCGAAACATATCCTATCGACTTCGCCACTTTCTCCTTCACAAGACAACGCCTAGTTTGGCTGCCGAAACTTGCCTGAACACGGAATATTCGCATTAGACTATCTAAATACCCCACTCTAGGAGCGCTAGGGCAAACAGCACGATATAGGTATGTTCCGGACATAGGCGAATAGTTTTACTTCGTGATTTATATGATGCATATTTTCTGAGACACATTCATTAGGAATAGGATGACAAGCGTAAATTATACCTACCGTAACCTTATTAACCCTCGCACTTGTGGGGAGGGGGAGGGGGAAGGGGTCGGATAAAACCCCATGGTTTTCCGCAAATTACTCGCGTCAAAAGCAGCCGATCGCGACGAAACTTTCGGTGCCCTCGAGATCATCAATTTTACATAAAATCTAAAAATTTCATGACTCTGACCCAACTGACCTTTGACCTATGGCATATTTCTCGAGACCATGTTTGGCTCGAATCGCGATTCGGCGTATGCCAGCTCACATTATCCGCGCTTTCCAGTCTTTTTGTGGTTTTAAACGTTCAAATATGTGAAATGATGTTGGTGCTATGCATTATGGTGGGTGTCAAGGTCACGTGAAGGTCAAGTCAAGGTCATTGACCTTTGATTACCTTGGTTCACTTTTTCGAGTTTTACTTGTTTCTAGGGTAATTTTTGGTGCTGATTTCGAATTTAGCAACTATTTGAATATTTACGAAGTAGTTCTGGTGCCTTCGTACCATGTTACGTAGCTGTCAGTAGTAGGTGACACCTACTATGGATGGCCGGAAGGACGCCTACTGGTTGATCTGACCTGACCAGACCCGACCTGGCCTAAATGCATAAAGACATCGTCTGTGATCAAAACTAACATGAAATTCGTGATCAGCACCCGAAAATACCCCGTAACACCCTAACTTTACGAAGTTTCGAGAGGTCTAGATTTCCCAACTTTAGTTGGTTCATTAAACTGACTTGGAAAGTCAACTAATGACCTTGGACTTTGAAATTGAATATATTCGGCCTCATCTCGTCATAGGCAGCACGCTTGATTTTTCCGCGAAGCTCTAGCTTGATCAGGGGCCAAACGGCTGAGCCGGGGGTCCAATTGAACCCCCTATACTATGTTGATTATGCACATTTACAGAACATTCTCACCAGAACACACCAGCCAACATCTGTGCACAATCTGGCTACAATACTACCTATGGTTTGCCCTCTACGAATAAAGGCGTGTCAGATCGGAAAAATCCCCACTGTGCGCCGGTTCACGGATAACGAAAGGACAAAAACGGCCGCAGAGCGGTGGAATACCGCCGGCTGGTTACTGGGAGCAGTGGAGCGTCACAGGAAGGGCCGGGGGGGGGGGGGGGGAGCGCCGCGCCACTTACCGGGCAGGTGGGCCAGGCAGCCGGCTGTCGGCCGCGGCCGCGAGCTCGGTGTCGGCGGCAGCGGCTTGTCTGGAGCCGGCGGGATGACCGACGCCAGCGCTTCCTGCACGTCGCGGTTGCGCAGGGCTTCCAGCGGCAGCTTTTCGACCACGCGCTCGGGATCGACCGGCGGCTGGGCGCGCTCGGCTTCCTTGATGGAGCTGATCGCCGAGCGGTCTACGGGCGTCGGCGGTTCGGCGTCCATCGACGACGGCGACGGGATGCGCGGCGGCGGCTGGTCGCCCAGCGGCCGGCCCTCCGCCGGCGGCACAAACTCCTGGAACGGGTCAGGATTGATGAAGGGCGCGGCCGGCTGGGCGGCGGACGGGACCGGGTCCCAGCTGGGCTGGCTGCCAGAGCTGTCCTCAGACCGGGCGGCCGGCTCAACGGGGATCGGGCTGTCCGACTGGGGGAAGGTGGGCGGCGGCGTGGGCTCGCGAGCGTCCCCTCCCACGGCCGGGGTGTCATCCAGGGAGGGAGTGGTGCTGGTCGGCTGGTGATGCAAGTCGGCTGACTCAGCGCCACCCGCGCCGACCGACTGGTCACGGGGCTCGGTGTCGGCAGTGGGGGTGATGGGTGCACCCAATAGGTCATCCTCGGGGGGTGGACTATTCAGAGGGCTGCTCATCACGGGATTGGCAGAACTGATGTCAGCTCCTGCCGAATCAAATCCCAAGGAAGTGCTAGACGGTTGAGCTGGATTCGCTTCTAGCTGTTGGAACGTAGAATCAGCATCGTGCACAGCTGAAAATGATTTCCCCTCATCGGCACTTCCGTAAACAAACGAGTCGACCGGCTGAGGCGGACTGGGGAGATCTGGCAAAACGTCAGGGGCATCGAGATCATAAGCAGGCTCTGAATTTTTAACGTCAACCTGACCCCTCTCTTCAGTCTTCAATCCATCGTCCCCCTGAGCGCCAGCAGATAAATCCAGCAGGTTGTCGCTTTGCTGCTGGGCTGTGATCGGAAAAATGTCGGTGGGCGCGGCCGGCACTACATCAACATCGGGCTCAGTCGACCCACGACCGAAGGGATCAAAACTGGCCAGATCATCCATTGGGTTCGTCTGTTTTTCCGCAAGGAGACCCTCTTTTACATCTGTAGGTGAATGTGCTTTCTCAGATAACGGTTCCCCGACATTACGTACGGCCAAGTTCGGAGTCTTTTCTTCTGTCTGAGCTAAGCCTCCTTCCGGGCGTTGCGCAGCGTCAGCGGCATGGTCAAAATCCATATTGCAGTGGGGATGTCAGCAACAATAAAATACCGTTCTTGCTGAATATAGGCGTCTTCAGTTCAACCTTACCCAAGCTCACACAGCAATCACACCGGTAAATCAATGCTCAAACACCACAGCTCTATCAACGACCACAGCCCCGCGCACCGTTCGATGAATCAGAAAGCATTTGCAGTTGCCCTGGAGTATAGTAGCAACTAGAAGCCAAGGACAAACTAACTTTGCAAAAAGACTTCTGAAATATTGCCGGTAGCAAATAGCAAGATTACTTTACTACTCGCAAATAGCAGGATGGATAAATTTTTATTTGATGAAGATCGTTTTATGTTCTTATTGAATTTACAAGATCTGACGTGTTATTGCAATCAAATTATACATCCATTTTCGGACTAAATTTGACGATCAATTTTTCATTCACAGCTGCAAAAGCATTTAAACCAAATTTGATTTACCTTTTATGCAATTTATCAATATTTTTTTGTTAACAAATTTTCCTTGTCAGGTAAAATGAAGATAAATATATAGAATATTTTTTGGATTTCATTAAAAACTACTAAATATATACTACATTTGGACCAAATAATGAAGACATAAACTGCGCATTCAATTCAAATACGATGCTCTCGGTCACGTATTGTTTTCATTGAGTTCAGTGTGGTTTACATTGGTTAAATCAAAATACAGGTTAAATAAGTTTCTTATACGTATCTTGGATTAAATACTTCATCCATGCTGTTAACATACACTCAGTAGTTTTGCTAGGTGAGTACTTTTTAGGCGGTTTAGCTAATATTGGATAAAAATGTCAAATTTCAGACTGAAAAATTTCAATGAAGTGCCTATTAGGTAATTATAGGTAGAAATTACATAAATTGATCTATACATTGAACTCAGGAATTCAATAGTGCTACCATTGCAATTGGTTCCCACTGGTTATTCTGTAGGTAGGTAGGTAGGGTATGGGTAGGTAGATAGGTAGGTAGGTAAGGTACCTACTTCCTACCTATAATGTGTTCAACCTGAAAATTGAAATGCATTTGAAATGTTGAGTTTGATGTGCTCACTTAATATGCTCAAAGGCTGGTCAGATTTTGATATTAATTTTGGTACATGGTTGTCAATTGGCGACTTCAAGTTTTACGTGCTGGTACAAAAATTCCATCTCAGTCTTAATCTTAAGAATAAAGTTTTTAATTTCCTGTTAAACTGATACTGCAAGTTAAATCAAATATCATCATTTTCTTAAGCCTTTCAGCTGAAGCTAGATTGGGTCAGCAGACATCACACAAAGGTTTTCCAAACCAAGGAGAGGCGACTGGCGAGGAAGCCGTGAGGTTTATAGGTTGTAGGTTAGCTTAGGTTAGGTGACAGGTTAGGTAGGGTTTATTTTGGTTTGGTTAGAAAGAAGCATCTCTGGTATAGCGCCAGTTCTCCTTGGTTGGAAAACCTTTGTGTGACGTTTGCTCTACAAAACTGCTAGATTGTAGTAGTGGCGGTTGATGGTTGGTTGTTTGGTTTGGATTAAGCACCATATCCAGTGGACCAATTGCTAACCAAAACTCACACCATTGACCATTCCCAGCGGCCAATTAGCAGCAATGCAATGTGTAACTATTGTTCAGAAATTGAACCAGCATGGCTTAATGTCTTGTAGTAGTATCATGAAAATGATTTTAATGAATTTAATTGGCATATGAAACCAAACAAAAACTGCAAATGCATGGCATAGTTATTATAGAATATGTAGGTAGGCACAGAAAATATTACTGTGGTGACATCATTGGCTCTCCAGCTGTGATTGTGAATAGTTGGTGGGGGTGTTACACCCCCCCCCCCCAAGTCAATGGTAGGATCAACAATGATTCTTAGGCTCAGTAGAGCTAAGAAGTAATAATTATGGTAACTGAGTGGAATATGTACAGTCTTCATGACCTGCACCATGAACTTGCATGAACTGCATGCCTTGCATGAGCTTGATCTTGCACAATCTTAGGACATGCTTTAGATAACAGAAAGTGGAAACTTATTCAGATCACAAAAATCACTGATGTCAGCTGAACATGACCTTGTATATCAGGGGTCGGCAAATGGTGGGGCATGCCCCCTTTGGGGGTAATGGAGCCCTTTCGGTGGGGGTAATGAGGGATTCTGAGAAAGTCTATCTTTTTTAGAGTTTGTAGCTCCAGTGATGGAGCCATCGTGACTGTTGCATCCCAGGGTTCAAAGATTAGCCCAGGCCAAAGGCACAGCACACATTGATTAGATACCAATTTTCACGTACCTGCTCGCCTCACCATCTCACCCCTCCATACAGTCGTACAAAAGCAGCTGCAACTTTTAACCGTCGCCCGTCTGTTGGCGTTTCAACAGCCGCTAACGTAAGGGGGAGGAGTCGATCGGACCCCCGCGGCCTCTCGGACTCTGAGATGGAGCTGTGCATAAAAAAGACGAGCGTGCTACCCGTGACAATAGGAAGCCGCTGCTGCCCATTTTGAAGGTCCTTGGTCATTCCGTCTCATTCAAGAGGGCAATGACAAGTGTCGAGAAAATCGGGACCCGCTATAACTTCTTGAAGTGAGATTTTATGGCTCAAGATGATCTCCAGAAAAAGCTCATAAGCCAACGGTCATTATGGGTCCAGAGGCCAGTTTTACCAACAGAAAAATAGCCGCCTGCCGGAATTTTTTGCCTAAAGATCGTTTCACATATGGAGCGTAAACGGTAAAGCCCTATCCGCTTACGAGCCCATCGCGTTTACGCTCCGTATGTAAAGCGGTCTTGAGGCAAAAATTCCGGCAGGCGGCTATTTTTCTGTTGGTAAAACTGGTCTCAGGTCATGATATTTTCCGGGCTGGTAAAAAAAAAGATGGGCTCGACGGTACAATTTGGTCGTGATCCAATGCCTTTTACGTGAGCTTTTAACGAAAAACCACCCGCCGCCCCTATACGTACAAGGGTTAAATGGGATATAGCATAGGCGGCGGAACGGGGAGGGCACCGGGGCACCGTGCACCCTTTGATTTTTGCATTTTAACATTAGCCCTATGGGCGTTGCATGGAAAGAATGGGACCAAAAGTCGGCAGTGCCCCCCCCCCCCTTAATTGAAGGTGTTCGTTTGTTTGTTTGTTTTGTTGGGTTAGGCCCTTTCGGTCTGACAAGACCATTGCAGGGCCGGAAGGATGATAGGAATTAGGGGGAGACATTGGTCTGGGCAGGCACCCTAGTGAGTCGCCGGGGCTGAGCCCGTCCAGAGGACAGGCCACCCAGCCCCAAGGCACTCACTGCACCCGGCTACGGGGTGCGCTCCCTCGGGAGCAGCGGTGCCGCTCCAAGGGAGCAGCCCGCATGAGATAAAGTTGCCTGTCCAGCCCGGAGGGGGGTTGCGGCTTGGAGGAGGAGGATTTCAGTATCCTGAGGATAGAAGCACGGAACGGTGAAGGTGTTCCGCCGCTACTGGGATATAGGTATTAGGTAAATGTTTTGTGGACGAAGTGTCATGTTTTAAATTTGATGCATTGGAAATGCACAAATACCCAAAGAGTTCCAGGACGGTATGGAATTTCAGTAAACTTGGTTGTGTCAGCAATGGGGTCTGGCAGGTGGGGGTAATGGGCAATGGCCCTGCCTGGCGCCCAAAAAGGGGGCACGACCCCGAATGACCTGCCGACCACTGTTGTATATAAATCAGAACTTAAAGCTACCTATGTCAAGCTTTGGATTGATGTATGCTCTCGGGATGCGTCCATTCTGAATATTTTTGCAAAACAATCTTGGGGCAGTATTGACACCCAGATTGGTCATCTGTGAAAGTGAGGGATAGGATGGTGAGCTTGTGAGACACGCTGCTGACGCTCGCCCCATTTCCGTCAGACAGTGCCGGGATGAGCTCCACCGTGGCCGTGGCGCCGCGGCGCGCCGCCGATATCTGGAGGCGCCTGCACGGACTGGTCTGCGTGTTCAAACCGGCCGGGTGCACGGTGAACCACTGCATGCGGGTGCTGCGCCACCGGCTGGCCGCCGACCTGAACGCCGTGGAGGAGGCGCGCTACGCGGCGGCAGTGGACGGCCCGACCGCCGCCGCTGGGGACTGGGCGGTGGCGCCGGTGGTGGACTCGGCGTCCCTGGCGCCGCCGCTGGCCGGCCTGAACCCGCGCCTGCTCACCGGAGCCGCCTTCCAGCCGGTGGACGTGCGCGTGGCGCGGCTGGCCTCGCTGGGCCGCCACATGTCCGGGCCGCTGCTGCTGGGCGTCAACAGCGGCGCCCGGCTGGCGGCCGCGCTGCGCGACGCCGGCCCGCAGGTGCGCGTGCACCAGGTGACGGCGCGGCTGGGCCTGGCCACCGACACGCTGCTGGCTGCCGGCCGGCCCACCGAGCGCGCCGCCTACGGCCACGTGACGCGCGGCCGGCTGGAGGCGGTGCTGAGCGGCCTGCAGGCGGCCCACCAGCGGCTCATGTTCGAGCACACCGGCCTGCCGGTCAACTCGCAGGCCGCCTACGAGCTGGCGAGCCGCGGCCCGGCGCGGCCGGAGCGCGGCGCGCCGCCCGTCATCTACGGCCTGCGCTGCCAGCAGTTCGCGCCGCCGTTCGTCACCATCGAGGTGCACAGCTGCAACGAGTCGAGCCAGTACCTGCTGACGCTGGTGGCTGACATGGGCCGCCAGCTGCGCTCGGCCGCCGTCACCGTGCGCTCGCGCTGCCTCCGACACGGCCCGTTCCACCTCGAGCACGCGCTGCTCATGAAACACTGGCAGCTGGAGCACGTGCAGCGCAACATGCGCCAGTGCCTGGTGACGGCCGCGCGGGGCCTGACGGCGCCGCTGTCGGCCACCCTGCAGCCCGTGCCGGGCCCCGGCTCCGGCCCACAGGCGGCAGCCGGCAGTCGGGCTGCTCGCCAACGAGAGTGAGGGATTCTGCGTGTATGTCTGTATATGTGTCGCATATCGAGTCATCTATATATCGCTAATTGTGATTGAACCTTTCTACTATGGTTAACAGCTAGTCTCGATACATCATCTGATCATCCTCATAGTGTACTTGTTGCACTTTAATGGTTTGCCTTTTAAGTGAGACTGAAGAGTCATGTCTTAATAGTTAATACCCAGGTAAATGCTTATTTGAAATGTTTTAACGGACTTTCACTGGGTAGTGGGTAAAAGTTATTATTGGTCCCGGTACTCCGACAATTGTATTGAAAAGTCTTCGATGGGGCACACATAGGTTTAAAACAGACAAAAATCAGGTAGCCATTTTTCGCAACACATCAATCAAATTTCTAAATATCCAGCACGTGATGCACAACTTGCCTATTCTCATATGTAAAACACAGCCAATAGGTACACTTCCTCTTCCAAAGAAAAACTACTGTTTTAGAGCACTCTGACAGTTCCCCCTTGGCCGAACACTGGCTACAGTGTGGGCGGCAGTTCGACCCGAGGCAGGCCAGCACTGCAGCTGTGGAGCCGACATGGGGTCGCCGTGTGGTTAGAGAAGCGATCGAAATTCGAGTGTGCAATCCGTCTTTAAACCAGGGCGTGGATAAATTCTCGCTTAGCCCCATATGGGACAGTGCTCTAAAACAGTAGTTTTTCTTTGGAAGAGGAAGTGTACCTATTGGCTGTGTTTTACATATGAGAATAGGCAAGTTGTGCATCACGTGCTGGATATTTAGAAATTTGATTGATGTGTTGCGAAAAATGGCTACCCGATTTTTGTCTGTTTTAAACCTATGTGTGCCCCATCGAAGACTTTTCAATACAAGTCGGAGTACCGGGACCAATAATAACTTTTACCCACTACCCAGTGAAAGTCCGTTAAAACATTTCAAATAAGGTTTGCCTTTTCCAGACCCTTCTCATGGACTATGTACGATCGATTTTGAGTTGTTTCGGTTTTCAATTTCCATCAAAATCGCTTGTATGGTTATGTAGAGATAACGTTATCGTGCCGAATATGAGCTCAATTGCCCAATGTTCTGCAGTCCGGCCACCATTTCACTGCAAATGAGAAGGGTATGGAATTTGCATATACCAATGAATATACCATTAACCAACTCATATTTTGTGTTGCTCAATTATCACGACTTCGCGGCATGCAACTGTCACTTCAGCGGTAGGTAAATGGAAGCTGTGCGGTGTTTGCGTACAGTTCAGCTCCGGTCTAGGGGGCGCTGTCTCTGATGTTGACGGCAGAGGCACCGCGGTAACTAAATGATAGGTTATGAAGGCCGTGCACTTAGCACATCTGAGGTAAGAAAAGGTTCCCAAGCAGTTTTCGTTTGCGTTCAGCTATCGTCAGGCTGAGCATTTAATCATTTTGAAATCATTGTGGCCGCTTCATCAAGAGCGCTTTTGGATGGTGTTTTTTTTTTTTTTTAGGGGAGGGGTGATAAATAACGACAGATGACAGAGTAGCCATGCAGGTTGTACTGGGTAACAACTGGGGTTTTGGTATCATCTCTAAGCTAAAGCACTCTGAATAAAAGGGTTATCTGTCAGACCATGCCAACATCAGTGTAGTGAATTCGCTATTACGGAAGTGTTTGCTTGACACAATGAAAGGCAAAACGATGAAAAAAAATTGTTATTTTCGTCAGGCATCCCATATGCGTGACTTCAGGGAATATAACTGGGAATTGGCAACCCCAGTAAGATTTGCCAGGAGCATCTCACATCTGTGGGTCTGTGCAGCTGAGGGCTAGCGACAACACCTACGACCAATGGATCTGAGGAACTATTAGTTACGGAAACAGTCTACAGATGTCGGCACCTATCTGGTTTTCCTCCTGCCCTTCGTCGACACGAATTTCGCCCGAGGCGAACAGATTCGCGTTCGGATGGGGTGTGCGGGTGCCTTCGTGGTGGGGGTTTTGCAAGTGCAATTTCCTGGATATTGGGTAGCCGGACAGTGCACATATTAATACCGTGGGATGGTAAGTACTCCAACGAATGTTTTCATGAGAAATGTTTGCTGATTCTCTCCTTTTGTTGCCTTGTTATGAAGCCATAAAAACGAGGTGTGGCAGCCATCTTCACATGCGATGTGCAGCAGTAAACGAAAAAATGCAGTTTAGAATTCAATTGAATTGCTTATCATTGTATATGATTAAAATATGTGGATAGCGTGTTTTGTTATAGTCATACCATCAAAATAATATAAAAAATTGCATGGCGCATCCTCATTGATCAATTATTTTGCTTAGGTTTGCTGGTAGGTACTTGGAGCAACTCCTGAGACTGATTCAGATTGAGGTTGCAGGGCAAATTCAGTCCTGAGTTATGTTTGGGCGAATTCTGAAAGAGCTTGGCACTATATGAGTATGAATCTTTGACCTATGTCAGTTGGTGACATACCAGGGAAATAAGCTAAAATTAGAGCGCTCTATTTATTGCTCCTGCCCCATGTTGAAGAGATACCCCTAAAAGCGTGATCTTTTATCGGCCTTTACGCAGCAAGGCAGTAATTCTCAGACTGGTGGATGGTATCAATAGAAAGAGAATGCGTCAAAGATTAACATGAATTAATTAAAGTAACATTAAAATGTTAATTAAGCGTGGAAATTAGTCCCAAACATAAGCTAATTATTGCTCCTACCTCGGCGACGGCGCTCCCCGCAGTCAGAGGAGAAGCTAAAATAAAAGCCACCATCCTCCTCCGTAAGTCAATTTTAGAGCGGCCGAGTGGGCCGATGCGGGGCCACCAAACTGAGGTGAGACGTGGCTAGCAATTGCAAACTGCCATAGAAATCAATATCTTAAGACGTACAATATGGGACGATTACTCTGAAGCTGGAGTGAAAGCATGAGTAGATTGCAAGAAACGAAATGCATAGATAGGTTGAATTATGTACAATAGGCACAGCTCAGATGAAGCCATTTCTTTGATGATGACATTTGACATAACCCTCTCCTCACCTATGACCTAACTACGTTGGCAGTTACCGGCATAGTTTTTTAGCACGAGTGTAATCCGCCATCGGACCGCAATGCATGTTGCTAGGCTGCTGCAATTACAACGAACATACGAATACTGCCTTCATTTGTAGACGTTTGTTTTTTAGGCGGTCTTTGACGTACAAGGGGGCATACCTGTCGACAACTTGAGTTTCTCCGAATTTCAAAAACTCCCAGAATTTCAATTCCTTATGCACTGTTGTAGGTACAGCTATGTTCACAAGTTTCGTTTCCTCCTGCTCTAAAAAGGATGATATTTGTCGATTTCGTGCGTCGCTGATAGAAGGGTGCGTTTAATAATCAGGCCCAACGCTTTCTGCATCCGCGAGTACCTTGAAAAGGGAACAACAGTTTCCATTTATTACACTATGGGACAAGTGACAAAATGACCACTGCAACACGCATGAAACGGAGCTCATATTCCTAAAAATGTCTACAATCACTTCTTTTCTGACACTATTAGCAAATACCATCTCAAGTTAGGTGGTTGACTGACAGTCAATGGAGATCTGGGGAGACTGAGTGATGCCAATTCACCACTTAACTGATAATGAGGGCCGAGGGAAGAGAAACATGCAACATGCACAACTGACAACTTGACAAGTGACAAAACACTACCACTATTGCGCAGTGCACAACAAATTACAGCAGCCAGCCCAAAAAATGCTTTTGGTGGCTAATTGCAAAACAAGTCACTAATAAATGTCTTAGTTGCAGCTGAACACTGTACAATGATCACACTGTTCACCCATTGAGTGAGATGCTACAGGTGGTTTGAATCACACTTTGGTACAACTGCAAATCTGAAGTGTTGTCATGAGGTTCATGCCTCCATGATCACAGCACTTTGGTTGTGGTTGGCATAACACATGTAGTCTGCAGAGTTCCACATGAACTGCAGACACCTCATCTGGTGGTCTTCATGTTGCTCAACTTCTTCAGGAGGCAAATGTCGACCACCCAGCGGAAGCATGGTCCTGCAGAAAAGAAAGGTAATGCATAAGGTACAAACATTATCTGCTGAAACAGCCCCTTCTGTTTGCTGTTATTAAACTTTTAACATAACATAACAACATGTATTCCATGTATATTACATTTGTTGAAGTAAAATACTGCCGGCTATTTCAAAGCCAGAAAATGTAATTATATTGTGGTATAATTCACATGCTCAGCTATCAGTATCAAATAATAAATTAATTTAAAATTTAGCATATTCTACATAACACATTCATAGAAAATTATACTTCACGTCACAAGGACTCACAATCTTTCTGTTGGGTGTTTGATTGACGCATTAACTAAGTTTGTCTTAGGTTTTATTATTGCAAAAAATTCATATTGCATTATTGTATCAAAATACTGCCAGCAATAACAAAACAAGAACATGAAATGTCAATGAGCAAGCCGCCTTTCCTAAAAATGGATTACTTTGAAAAGAATTTTAGTTTCTTTTAAGGAAAAGGAGAAATGATTATCAGGTTATTATCAAAAACCACTCAACCAGCAAGTGGCTGGGTGGTTTCACAGCAAACATCAAGCCAAAACATATGCTTACATTTATCTAACAGTTGAACCATTTGACTACACAAGGATATGTGAGCAAAATAAGAATCCAATTATCCAATGTTGACTTCCTTGCAAAGTTCATGCCTTATTTTATGAAAATGTGTCACTAGCATATGATACTTATCATCGAATATTATTTAATTTACGATTTATTTCGATCGGAACGCACATGGAGTCCCGCGCCATTTTCGTCGACGATGAATATGATCGTGTTTCATGAAGAGATAAGGGGTTTCAATGGTCTTTCAAAGCAATAATTTGATGCAAAAATTTGTAGGAAATAATATAAAGCTGGTTCAAATCAGTTCAAATGGCCATCAACCATTTAAAACACCGAA